ATGTCTTTGATACTTTTTTTTGCCATTATAGACACCCCTCTCCCCATGTCCACTCCTAATCTTTTGTCTTCTCTGTCTTTAAAAGCTGGAGACCATGGGGCAGCTAGGTGGCGCAGTGGATACAGCATTGGCCCTGGACTCAAGAGGACCTCAGTTCAAATGCGTCCTCAGACACTTAACACTTACTGTAAGCTGTATGACCCTGGGCAAGTCACTTAACCTCATTGCCTAGCAAAAGGAAAAAAAAAAAAAAGAAGCTAGAGACCAGAGAGTCACTCACCTAAAATCTACCATGAGCTACTTATATGGTAATAGCAGAAAGTGTCCTGGGCTTGGAGTTAAGGAAGATAGGGGTGCAAACCCTGCCTCTGACACTTATTAGAAGTAGAACCCCAGCTAAGTCACTTAAGCTTAATGTGAGGTTCTTCGTCTCTAAAATGAAAATAATAATGCCTGCGCTGCTTAGGATTAGTGGATGGAGATAAAGTATGTAAAGTGCTTTGGAAACCCTTAAAGTACTAACTCTATAAATGCCAGCTATTATCCTTATAGACATTAGAGTAAAATCCACTTCAGGCTATCCTGGTAGGGAAGTCTGTATAAATGAATGAAGAATTTCAAGTACAGACCATCCTAACAAGAATAGCTAGCATTTGTTATTTCACTGGATCCTTACAAATACCCTGTTGAGGCAGGTGCTATTATTATCCCCATTTTACAGATGAGGAAACTGAGGCAGAGCTTGGTTAAAAGTGACTTGCCCAGGGTCATAAAGCTAAGTGTCTGACACAGAATCTGAACTTAAAGAAATGCAGTCATCCCTTTCCTATAGGTGCATCTACACAAATAGCTAACAAAGTGCCGAGTCATGGCTTCCAGTTTTAGTCATTGGTTATTTTACACATGAACTGTACATTTTTGCTGCCAAATGCTTAAAGCTGAGACGTAATGACTGATTGAGAAACACAGGAAAAGGGGAAACAGTTTAAGTGCTAATAAGAACTAAGTGAATTTGACATCTCTGGCTTTTCCAGCTCCCTGGCCCCAGGTTTCACTTTCACCTTTTCTATCCTGTTTGGTCCTGGTTTTGTGGGCATCAGCTCAGCCTCTCCTCTCAAATATTAGCAACCTTCAGCCTGCTTTTCAGGCAGCTAGCTGGTGCAGTGGATAGAGTGATGGGCTTGGAGTCAGGAAGACTCATCTTCCTGAGTTCAAATCTGGCCTCCGAACATTTACTAGCTGTGGGACCCTAGGCAAGTCACTTAACCCTGTTTGCCTCAGTTTCCTTCTTTATAAAATGAGCTGGAGAAGGAAATGGCAAACCACTCTAACATCTTCGCCAAGAAAACCCTAAATGGGGTCATGAAGAGTCGGACATGACTGAAAAACAACTGAACAAGAAAAATCCTGCTTTTCATGTTATCTTGAGACAGTCATTCTGAAAACGACCCAGGTGCTAAGCCTCTACCCTCAGGCAAAAGACTTCCTGAATAGTAAGACACCAAATGTCTGGCTCCTGGAAATCATCCAACCAAATGTGTCCAATTTTAAAAAGATGAATTCGAGTTAACCTTGTAAGAGAAATGTTGCATTTGGCAAGGTTCTGCAAAAGCCCAAACTACCAGGATGGAAGGCCAGTTTAGCTAAAGAGAAGGAGAGAACTGCTTTAAAAAAAAATGTTTTAATTGAAACATATTCATTACATGTGTTTGGAATCTGGTATCTTTATTAAATTCTTATTTTTCCAGTAACAAAAATCAGAAAACTAATAGCTCAGATTTCTCATTTAACTATAAGCAGCTAATTGCTTCCTCAGGACCAAAAGATTTAAGATATCTCTCCTTTGAGGGGAATATCTTGTGGAGAGAGCCGAGAACAGAGGAAGTCCTGAATGTTGTACTCAACCCACAAGACTGGCCAGAAGATCAGAAGACCCCAATTTGGATCTTAACTGACATTTATTAGCTGGCTGACCTTACGCAAGCAGCTTCATTCCTCTGCAACTCACTTTCCAACTCTGTAAAGTGGACTGAAAAATTTCAAGTGGACAAGGTCTTAGACTTAATCCAACTCCCTCTTTTCACTGATGTGAAAACTGAGGCCCAGAGAGGTGACATGACAAAGTCACACATCCCTTGCAGGGATAGGATCAAAATATAACATTTTCCCTGCTATATCAGTCTATCTATACTCTAATCAGAATATAAGAGCTATAGGACTCAAAATGCAGCCTAAGAATTTGGGGAAAAAGTTAAAAAAAAAAGCAGCTTCTGCAATGGAAACTTGGTTTAAACTTTCCCCTAAGCCTAATTCTTCTTCTAACTTTTTATTGTCACTGAGACCTGTGTCTGAAAGGTTCATGTCATCTCTGATTTTTCCTTTTGTGTATTTTATTTCCAATTAGTCTTGAAGTCATAAGTATAATGGAAAGATCAATGACTTTGGAAGCAGAAGTTTTCAAAATGAATCCCATGAAGGCAGACACCATTTCTTTCCTAAACTTCTGTCTCCACCAGTATTAAAGCAGTAGGTGTTTGACAAATATTTGCTAAATTAAATTGAAAGTAACTCTAGAAACTGGCATTGATAAACCATGTATAAGTAGCTAATGAGACTAGAGGAGTTCCTGCCTCTCAACCAAAATCTTAGCTAATATAAAATAAACTATAATCGAATTACAAGACATATGAGATAATGTTCCAACAGAAGCTTTAAGTAGGTGGAAAGAAACATTAGGAAAGGAAAACTGTGTAAGAAAGAAGTTGTGAGTCAGGCCAAAAGTGTCCAGAAGAGAGGGTGTCCCACCGGGTCAACACTGGCACTTTGATGGGCTTAGAAGGTTAAGTGCCTATAATTGAAGTTGATGGTACCTGCCATCAAGGTCATTACATTGGAACAATGGATTTGGAGTCAGATTCGGGGCTGAATCCTGCCTATGCTACCTGGGTGGCAAACCTTTGGCGTGTCGCATGACCGACATGGCCTTGGGCAAATCTCAGTTTGAGCAACATCTCCCTGACACTATCAATACAATCCCTGGGCCTCAGTTTCCTCATCTGTAAAATGAGGGGATTGGATTAGAAGGGATCTGAAATTACTTCTAGCTACAGATCTACAATCTTTTATTTCTGTGAGGACTGGCCTTATAATCTGAGAGCCTGGGTTCAAGTCTCAGATTTTCATTAGTTTATGTGACCTTGGGCAATCATTTAACATGCAGAGGACCAGAATTTAAGAATACCTCAAAGGACCAAGCTGTGTCAGGGCAGCGAGGTGGCACAGTAGATACAGCACCAGGCATCATCTTTTATGAATTCAAATCCAGTCTCAGACACTTCCTAGCTGCGTGACTCTGGGCAAGTCACTTCACCCTGTTTGCCTCAGTTTCCTCATCTATAAAATGAGCTGGAGAAGGAAATGGAAAACCACTCCAGTATCTCTGCCAAGAAGACCCCACAAGGGGTGGTGAAGAGTCAGATATGACTGAACAACAAGAATGAAGAGGTTGAAGTAGACAGCCTCTAAGGCCCCTTCCAGTTCTAAACATCTTAGCCTTTACTTAGATGCTATTTTCACCAACCAACCTTCTGATTTTATTTTGGTTTCCTAAGGAGACTTCCCAACTAAGTAGGGAATGCATATAGTAGATGCTGTTCATACAACATTTACTAAACAGCTATCTTTTAATGAAAAGATTCTTCATATAGTAGAGTGCCAGCTTCCAAGACAGAAAGATAAGGGTTCAAGTCCTACATATAATGCATGAAATATAATCAGGAAATATTTAACACTCAGGATATCTGAAAGCCACAACTTGCACACTCGGGTCCCTCACATCAAGGTGAGAAGGTCAGAGGTATAAATTGTGTAATTATCCCCATAACTGTATTATCTTCCCCATTTATCAGGTGATGAAGCTCTGACAGCTCAGACAGGTTAAGTGATTTGCCCAAGGTAAAACAGCTGGTCAGTGTCAGAGCCAGAATTTGAACCTTGATCTTCCTGGAGTCCAAATCCAGTTTTCCTTCCATTACAGTAAGTGAGAAATGCGATGGTCCCAGGGAAGAGGAGACCCTTGACTCTGGGATGAGTTGGCAGGGCATACCACGAACACTTGGAACAGCAAATCTTGAATTTGTAAACTGGAAAGAATAGGGGAGGGGGAAGTCTCCTGTATTTCAGACCAGAGAACTGCAAACTAACCTGGTCCACCTCCCAAAAGTATGTATTTTTTTCCTACTCTGCCCATCCTACTTTTACTTCAATTAACCAGGCAGATTTGTTCTCACAAAGCAGGGCTGCTCCTGACCTTATCACACGTTAGAGGACCAACGGGCCAAAATCATCAGGAAACATTATTTTCAGATGTATATAATGACACAAACAACATTCACTATGCTCAGAACTTAGTTTACCTGGAGTAGACTACCAAGTACCAGCTTAGAGCAGATACCAAAATCAAGGCATCTTTCTTTCTCCCCTTTCCCCAGGTGCTGCTTTCCTAGGAGAAAATGATGACCTGTAACAAAACTGGCTGCCTTTTGTAAGAGAGTGAGCTCCCTATCATTGGAAGAATTCAAGCAGAGGCTAGGTGTAGAGGAGATTCCTGTATCCCTTAAGTGACTGACTTAGATGACCTCTAATAAGAATTCCTTCCAACTCTAATGCTATGATTTTCATGTGGTTGCATTGGAGGGAATTTTCCATCCAAGATGGTCTAGTAAGTCATTTGACAATCCACAAGTAATCATCTGTCTTGAATCAATATGACCCACAGAATATGGAAAAAAAAAGTTTCTTTCCTCTGAGAATTTAGAGTGAAAAATTCACTGTGGCCAATTACATTCAAGAGTAGGTTCTTAACAAGGGGACAGGAATACATACCACTAACTCAGCAACTTTTCCTAGATTGTTTGACAGATGTTTCTTCAAAAAACAAATCAGAGAACTGTTTGAAAAATGAGCAGATGAGATTTTAAGAACCCAAGCACCCCCACAAATTCACACCATAAAATATTTATTAAGAAACAATATGCTTTTTCTTCAATCGTAAAAACATCTTAGGAATCCTTTTTTGAAATTTTAAAATCATACCAGATGCTGACATAGTCTTACATTATCTATGACATATATAAAACATGTAAAATACCACACTTCACAAAACTTTAATTAACAATCAGAGTCTTATGTTTCCACCAGCTAATAAAATAATTTCCACATACTTAACTTACTTTTTTTTCTTAATACGTAAACAATATACAAAGAGATTCACCTGAATTTCATAAATCAGAGCAGGGGTCCTTATCTGGGTATGTGCAATGAATGGAGTGCTTCCTGCAGAGAGACTGAGAGAGGAAAACAAGAAATGCCTAGCTTCCTTACTGAATAAAGCTAGCATATTTGTAAACCTTTCTCTTGATATGACAAGAGTCCTTGACATCCAGGGAGGAGAATAGCAAGCCACATCAGAGAAGGTTCATTGAAGAGTATATATTTTCCCATTCTCCTGTAACTGCTAGATAGTCCTATTTTGGCCAAAGGTCATAAGTCTGTGGTATAAATTTTTCCCTCAACACTTGGATCATGGCAGAAAAGTCCTATTAAGTAAATTTGTAGATGGTTTTATCTTGTTGATCACAGGTAAACAGTAAATCGTTCTCATCAGATCTAGGCAGAAATATTGACCCTTTTTTCATCTACAGCTGAAATGCACTCACTACTGTCCAGGAATTCAGCCTCTGACAACCCAAGCAGAATGAAATGCTGAAATGGACAACCTCCCACAGCAAAAAGTAACCCGGGACGGCAGCAACTGATTTTTTTTTTAATTGAAAGCATAAAATATCACTAAGATGAATAACCAAGTGTTGTATCTTATTAGATGTATGGTAAAGTCAGATTAAAAGACAATCAGGAAGAGAATTCATGGTTTTATTGCTGTTCCACCCTTCTTTAATCTTCATCAAGATTAAAAATAACCCCAGAGTCTTCCTTGGTAAAGCCTCTATACCATATTTCAGTGAAGGGTGATTTTTTTATATGTAAAAAAACCCATTTTGTCATAAGATTACTACGTAACTAAAGGAGCTTTTCACAATCACAAAACTAGACAAAATACATAAATTTACATTGAAACTAAGATGTGCCTGGGAAATGCTGAGCCCCAGTGGACAGTTCCAGGTAGAAAACAGGTTTTTCATTTATGATTGCATTACATTGTTTTCCACTGCCAATTTGATTGTCTACAAAATAAGGGAAAAAGAGGTAACCAACATCATGATCTCATACAGTTAAGGGGTGGGAGTGGAGGAGAAAAAGAAACCACCTTACTCTAGTAACTCACAAAATTCTTTTGACTACTGTACCTAAAGGGCACTTGTTGGCTCAAGCATCTCTCTTTCACAACTCACGCTCACACCCACACACATACACTCACACATATACACACACACAGAGCTATCAAAAAAGCATGTACACCTTCAACATAATCTCTTTTTTCCCCACTAAAAATCATGCATTGGAATGAAACATATCTGGAAATGCTAATTGAGAGAAATTGTCATAGAGTTTGGAGCAAATGAGCCCATCAAAAAGAAATGCTTTCCCCAAAAATGCTGTCCAACATTCAAGGACTTCCATTTAGAGAACTCTTTACCAATGGACTGTTGGTGGATCCATTCCCAGAGTCTTTCCTGCCTGTTCATCTTAGGTACTGAAAGCCAGTTTTGTGGTCCATGAGTTTATACAGTCACCGCTGGGTACATCTTCTGTTCGCTACTGGCATGGGGGTAAGGAGACTGGATCTGCCTGTACCCAGTTTGCAGACCGTCCAGGAAGGGTGGCACAGGTGTCATGGGCATGGAGTCATGTTGCACTGTGTAGCCCACATACTGAGGGTGCAGGTATTGTCCTTGGTGGGGCACAATCTGGGTAGCCTGCTGACAGTTCAACACCGAGAAATTAGTTGGCATGTTGACATATACATTATTCATGGTCCCTTCTGGCAAGCAGCAGTTGGTCTGTGACCTTGTCGGGGGAGCTCTGGCACCCGAATTGGCACTGGAACTGGAGCTGGCAGCGGTGCTCGATTGGCGGGAGGAGGACCCACGAGAGGTGCTGGCACTTGGAATCATGGGAATCGTTTCCATCAATCGATTGCCTCCAGGGGCTCGGCTCTGCTGCGGCTCCTGCTTGGGCCGCAAACATCTGCAGCAGCAAGCGGCCACTAAAGATCCCAGGATGATAAAGGCCACGAACACGGACCCCACGATGAGGAAGGGCACATAGATAGGCACTAAAGAAAGGAATACAGACAGAAAACCATGATTCCTCTCCAAGAAGGTTCGCGCAACTCGAATATTGCCCGCACTCCAGAGCTTCAGAGCTATCCCCTCTATCTGTCTTTTATTTCCTTCCTGACCCCTAAGAAGCCTGAACTGAGCCTGAAGTAGAGGCTGCGGAATTGAGGTTTATAACAAAGACGAATGAAAACAAACAAACATCAAAATAGTTCAGAAAGACATCTCCCACCCCCTAAAACGTGAGCAACCTGAGTGTAAAGATCCGTTCAGATGAACAGAAATTAGGCATTACAGAATAATTCTAAAGAAATATAATATTATTGTCTTCAAGTATACAAAGTCAACGAATCCTCATGACTAACCAAATTAATGGATATGTATAGTTCTGAGGAAAATACACACACACACACACACACACACACACACACACACACACACACACACATATTTCACAGCTGCTAGGTAGTATACTAGATAGAGTTCCAAGCCTGGAATCAGGAGGACCTGAGTTCAGATCCAACCTCGGACACTAGCTATGTGACCCTGGGCAAGTCACTTAACCCCATTTGCCTCAGTTCCTCATCTATAAAATGAGCTGGAGAAGAAAATGGCAAACCACTTCAGTTTCTCTGCCAAGAAAACCCCAAATAAGATCACAGAGAGTTGGACAAGACTGAAAACAAGAACAGTAGTTCTGAGGATTTAAGTCATTAAAAAGTCCATTCTCTTTAGTAGATTAAGTATGTTCCTTGCAATCTTCTTTTGACACTATTTGGGCAACAGACTTTTTTCATTGACAATGAAAAAGTCAACTTCAGTGCAGAGCCAACCTTTACAAGTTCTGAATGAACAGGCTGAGATTTAAACATTTTTACTGCAGTAGAGATGGGTACAAATAAAAAGGGCCAAATCTTCTTCATCAGTCTTAGGAGACTTCCCTAGTAAAGCAAACTTATGGGAAGGATATAGCCTGGTATATTGACGAGGGAGACAGTCTATTCCAGGCAAAAGGCAAAAGCATGGGAACAAAGACTACATCAGTGAAAAGTAAATAGTTTAAGAGGAATGGAAAGACGATTTAAGAATACATGAGAAGGCCAAGGCAGCATAAAGGTGTACTGATACCAGGACTGGTAAATCCAAAGTTAAAACAATGGGGATCACAGGGAGCTCCCAGAAAAATGGAAGAAATGTGTCATAACATAAAGCAACCAGTATGAATTCTGACAGTTAGATTTATCTTGCACATAAAATAACTTCTGAAAACCAAGATTTTGGTTTAAAACAAGCATTAAGGATCACAGTTTTTTCTTTTCTTTTTTTTAAATCCTTTTCACAAGATGTCATTTTTTGGGAAATCCTGAAATGCTGGAACTATTTATCAATTGTTCTTTACGTGGAAAACACAAGATATTCAAAAGAGATGTATGTAAATGGGAACAGGAGGGGGAAAAAATCTTGATGAGTCCACTCAGTTCCTCTAGTACTTATGTGAGTCACTCATAAGGCACTTATACTGTAGTCATTTAAAGATGTCTTCTCTCTATTAGATTATACACTCCTAGAGGGCAGGGACTGTCTTTTATATTTATTTATATTCCTCTATAACACCTTGCACATAGTATGAGCTAAATAAACACTGAATGAATGAGCCAAATTCCTTGGTACTGAGAGAACAGACCAAATTCTCTCAAATTGAGCAATGCTTCTAAATATGTTCTTTATGACTTCTGAAATACCTAGAGTCAAAGTTATTAAAGCATAACACCTTGTAGAATCACCTAGACATAAGCCTGATTTTTATGATGAAAGCTTAGCCAAAAAGGATGGTTTCTTGAGGTCTAACAGGTGCTATAGAGTTGGCTACCTTAAAGTTGTCCAATAAACCTGTCCTAATTGTTGGAGTTAGCCAGAAGGTTTTATAGCAACACGCTGGGCTTTTTCTTAACCCTTCTATAAATTTTTTGTATTCCTCTAAAAAATCTAGTCTTATATAATACTAAAGGTTAAAAATCTAGTATACTTTAAATGCACAAACACACACATACATACACATTATCCTAAGACCTTGTCAGAAGCAATGCAATGTTACTTACTTTTAAAAAAATAATAATAATTGTTCACTTTCAAGGAATTTTAATTGGACTTGCATACCGGCATGTAGGGATAATTAATACAGTGCTCCCATGAGCCCTGGTACCATTTAATTAGACAAGATAGGGCAGCATTGGTGTGAAATAAGTTTAGTGAAGCATAATTTTTTAAAACAAAGCTTTGTAAAGTACAGCAAAGTCCCCAAAATGCACATCTCAGCATCTTTATAATGTTGACAAGCTTTCATATTTCCTGTGGAGTCATGAGGCAATTGCTGTGCAGGCATTTGTCCCAAGAGGTCTCCTGTATTTTTTTTCCCTTCTATTAAACGGAGCTCTACAGACTTGTAACTATATGACTACAGCCTTGCATTGGCTTTGGCACATTCCTTAACGCTTTATTTTATACATGTACACAGCAAAGCTGAGTTGGCACCTTAAACTGAGGCATTTTCCGGAATTATACTCTCCTCTCCTCCCTTCAGACAGAGCTAGAACAATGGTTAGTAGCATGAGTAATAAAATGCTTGACTGAGAAAGTGGCCGAGTTTAAAGGAGCTCTCCTCTTACAAGGCCACAGGAGACAACTCTGTAAACACTGCCTCTCCATAACAAGGACATCTCAGGCAGCTCAGCCTCCTGTGGGTTCAGGATGCAGAGAAACAGAATGGGGCAGAAAGGCAGGATGAAATGGAGGGTGCTGTAAGTCCCCTTGTTAAAAATAAACTGCCCAGCTTCATGGAAGGAGAGTTCGCCTTGGTGAAATGATTGTCACCTGACTTATGACCTCTAGAATATTCTGCCCACAGAACTGTATCCCACTCACTGGAGGTTACACTCTCAAGAAGGTGAACTTGGGGGGTGGTGGGGAAGAGAATATCTCAGAAGAGCAGAGTTTTTAAAAGGAAATGCTTTTTAAAAGTCATAAATACAAAAAGTTGAACATCTTCGGCAAGGTCTCAGACATGTTGGCCAGGCATGTGATGCAACACAATTCGGTTTCAGGTGCAGGTGCCAGCTCTGCTTGCCAGCACACATGGAGGAAGGGAAATGGGTGTTGCAGAACATTAGAGCCCCGAGGCCAGGGCAGGGGAGAAGTGCAGGTCATTCAATCCATGCTCAAGAAACTTAAGATTTCTCTTCCACTAAACTATCCAGATCCGATTACTGCACTAGGCAAAGTCCTAAGAGACAGAAGTTTTAGGTTTACCTAATCTAAGCCCCACATTGGACGGATGAGGAACAGCCTGACCCACAGGAAAGCCCAGAAGGGGCCCCTTCTGCAGAGGGGACACCTAACAGGTTTTCCCCCTTACCCTTCCGCCAGAGGGTGGGGGTGGAGCAGTACCTGACATTGTTAGGCACGTGGCCCAGGCTGGGAAAGGAGTTAAGGCATCGTTTAGATTCACTACTATTCACCCTACCTTTTCTGTCTTCCCTCAATATTTAATTCATTTAATTGGAGAGGAAGGCAGGAGGAATATAGAAGTGTCTATGGGGGGAAAAATAGCTGTCTTGGAATCCAGACAGGAGAAGATGGCAGCAAAAAGTAAGGTGGATGGGTTCTTCTGAAATACTTGAAAAGATAATTAACCCCTCTGTCTCAAATAGGATGGGATTGATCCTAGGAAGCATCTTCTGGGGACCTTCCAAGGAGATAGGGGGAAGGAGGAGAAGGATGTCAGGGAGGAGGATGGAAGAGATGAGGAAGGCAAAGGAAAGGAGATTTCCTGAAGGAGGGTCCACAGTGCATAGAGGTTCAGGCTTCTCTTTAAAATCTAGGACCGAGTCACAACATCCTTAGCAGTAGAGATGATTTCGGACAACTCACTCACTTTACACAGATGAAGCAACTAACGACCGAAAAGGCGCAGTGCCTCGCCAAACTTCAGCCAGCTCCTGCCAGCTGCTGGACTAGAACCAAATGGCGGGTACGTCGGCCCATCCCTCCAATTCTGCCCCTGCCCAGTTCAGCTGGCTACCTCTTCGGTTGGAGTCCCATCTAGTCCAGTGCCATGGTGCAGCTCTCAAGATTAGGGGCTGAGAAAAGTTGGCCAAGTCCTTCTCAAAATCAGCCCAGCACGCCCCCGCCCCACCCAGGGGCCCCCTCCCCCCGGCTTACCTGCGGCGCCGTCCGGGCTGTCTTTGTCCGAGCGGCCAGGCTCGCTGCCCCCCTGCTGGCGGTCGTTGTCGCAGCCGCCCTGGTCGAGCCGCGCGTCGGCGCTGGAGCAGCAGTAGCGCAAGGCGCAGCTGCCGCAGCAGATGGTGGCATCGCCGCCGTCGAAGCGCTCGGGACACTGGAAGCCGATCCGCCAGACGCCCTGCGCGTCCAGCCAGCCGTGGCAGTACTCCCCGCTGGCCCGCGCCCCCGCCGCCAACAGCGCCGCCAGCAGCAGCTGCAGAAGGGTGGGGGAGGAGGACGACGAGGAGGAGGAGGGCGAGGAGGACCACAGACGTCCGCCCCACATGGCACCACCCGGGGCGCGTGGGCGGAGGGGCCCCGCGGGGACACCTAGGTGGGTAAACGACCGGACCTCGGGACTTGGGAAAAGGTCCCGCTGCTGAGTACAGGGGACAGTCACGGAGGGGTTCAGAAGTCCTGGCGTGGTCTGCCCCTTTCCATGCGGTCAGCGCCCTTCTTTCCCCTTCCAGGCCAGGGGTGATTACTGATTTGATGGAATGGGCGGCTCCGAAGCCATCATGCCCACATTCTCAGGCGCCCTAGCTGGGGATAGTTGTGGTGGAGCGTAGTGGGGCAGGCGCTTGCAGGGGTCTGAGAGAATGGAAGCCTGGTGGCTCCAGAGGAGCCGCTGGGGACGTCCCCACTATGGTTGCGGGGAGCGATAGCTCTCAGAGGTGTTCCCAAGCAAGCGTCAACTCCACGGGCATCCCACCGAGAATGCGCCCTCAAAAAAGCCTTTCACCGGTCCACGCCCTCTCCACTGGGCCAATTAATTCTACTCCGGAGGGACCCAAGCCGTCAGATTCCAGGTGACAGGCTAGGCGGGAGCTGCTTTATCCTCCTCGGCAATAGAGCGCAGGGGACAGAAAGGAGAGGAGAACGCGGGGGGGGGGGCAGAGAAAGCTTGTTAGAAGCAAGTGCAACAGCAAGTGCGGCCGCTCCTCAATCTTTCCCTCCCCATTTCCAAACTTTGTCCGCGTGGTTCAGGTTGCAAAACTCGCGCTGTGCAAGGAAACCCTTCCCGGGGCGCAGCCCAAAATGTCCCATTGAGGGTAGATGCTAAATGCCAGGAGACTCAGCCCGAGGACCCTGATGAAGAGCAGCTCCCCCACCAACACCAACCCGACCTCTGCCGAAAGAAGCCAGAGACCCGCGGAGCAGCCTCAGGAGCAGCTAGCGTCTGGCTCAAGAGGAGAGAAGAGTGGCGGCAGCCGCCTCCTGCGGTCTCGGCGAGCCTGGGCGGCAAGACTGGCTAAACCTCTCCGCCTCGCGCGCTGCTGGTGCTCGTGCTGCTGCTGGTTGGTTGCGGGTGCGGGTGCCGGTGCTGCTGGCTGGGTGGTGCTGCTGCTGCTGCCGTTGGGAGCAGCTCCAGGACTTGTTCACTCTCTTCTACCAGCTGCAGGCCAAGGGGAGCTCCCACCCGTCTGCATAGAGCTGCAAGCTCTCTCCTCCACTAGAACCACTCCTTCTTCTTGCTCTTTCCCGGGTCCCCCACACTACCCTTTTTCTTTCCCTCTCTCCTCTTCCCAGACACTAGGAGAAGCCACGCACTGGAGAGAGGTAGCGGACGGTGGCAACGGAGGCGGGGGAGACGTCTGGCAGCTGCTCGCACAGTCCCTTCGGCCTCCTTCTCCAGCCCAACTCAGGCTCGCGTTAGCTGCCCCTTTCGCTTGCTCTCTTATTATAGGCACTTGGCTCCCACAGGCGCGCATGCGTTTCAGAGAGCCTCCTTCCCTTCCTCTCTCCCTCCTCCCTCCAAGAAATCCCCACACACGTGGAGAAAGAGTGAGGGTCTCTTCCTTCGACTTCAGCGCTTAGAATAACCTTGACATTAAGGAAAATGAACCGCAACTTCTAGGAGAGCAATGGCAGAAAGAACGTGTATTCCCCACTTTGCCTCTTAAACACAATGTCTTTGCTTTCACGGATTAAGGGGAGAATGAAGACAAAAGTCTAAGAACTTGAATGAACGTTATCAATCTGTACCGTTTCTTCAGACATTGGTTCTTTTTTGAGAAAACTGAAGGAATAGGGGTTGGTGCTTTTAAAACTCATTGGGTTGTTTTTTTTTTTTAAGACTAGTGGAAAGGACACTAGACAGATTGTAATCACACCTTTACTGAGACCTTGGGCAAGTAGTCACTTAACCTCTCTGTCCTCAGTTTCCTCATCTGTAAAATAAGGGGGCTCTACTAAATCATCCTTAAGATAATTTTTAAATGTCCCTTTTAGCTCCCTGATTCTATATTACTTAGAAAGCAAAGCTATCTCATTTGTAGGCAAAAGGTATATTCTCTTTCATGGGACCATTCAGATACTCTTTTTATCGGAGTCTCAGTGGATAACTCAGCTATAAAAGACTCATTCTACCCTACCTAGCAAGTCTAGTCTGCTTCCTAGAATTTGAAATTGAGACTAGTCACATAAATAATAGTAGTAGGTCATACTGGTATAGTTTTTTAATATAATATTTCATCTTTCCCCCAATCACATGTTAAAACAATTTTAAAATATTTTTTAAGTTTTGGGTTCCAAATTCTATCCCTCCCTCTCTCCTTCCTGCCCACCTCCCGGAGACGATAAGCAATCCAATATAGTTTATACATGTGCAATCATGTAAAACATTTCCATATTAGTCATTTTATGCAAGAAGACTCCAATAAAAAATGAAAGTGAAAAATAGCATGCTTCAGTGTTTTCAAGTTTGCAAAACATTTATATATGTGTATATATGTATCTATATGTACATATATAATTTGATATGCAAACAATCCTGTGAGGTAGATGCTATTTATCATGCTAGTCAAATCAAGTTAAGAAACACTTAAGCGCCCACTGTGTACCAGGCTGTGTGCTAAACACTGACTAGGGGATACAAAGAAAGGCCAAAAGAGTCTCTCCTCTCAAGGAACTTGAAATCTAATGATGGAAACAACATGCAAACAACTATGTCCAAATAAGATATGGACATTTATGTAAGTATGTAAATATATAGATATAATAAAGTGGAGATAATCTCAGAGGGAAGGCACCAGAATTAAGGACAATAAGGAAAGGCTATCTCTAAAAGGTGAGGTTTTAGCTGGGACTTGAAGGAAGCCAAGAAAACCAGGAGGCAGAAATGAGAAGGGAAAGCATGGTTATCCTTCCACACTGACTTTCCCTATCACAGTTTTGATATATCCAGGGTTGGCATAAGAAATTAAATGGGAATATTTTGGGAGTTTTGTGCAAGCCACAGATGACAGTCGAAGTCCAGCAAACATGGAAACAGTTTAGAAACTCAAATGCATAAAATATTACAGTATTGTATATCAACCCACAATTTTACAATAAGGTACTTTAAGCACTTCATAAAAGAAAAAATTCAGACTTCTCTGGTATGAAGGGAGGGCCAACAATGTTTATGAGGATTTTCCAGATCAAGGGGGTGCTGCACCCCTAACCCCTGTGATATATTCCAGGCACAGGGGACAGTCAGTGAAAATGCCCAAAGAAGGGAGATTGTATGAAGAACAACAGCATGGTCCAGCATCACAGCATCACAAAGTATGAGGACATGAGTAAGGTGTAAGAAGACTAGAAATGGAGGATGGGGCTAGGTTATGATGGGTTTTAAAAACCAAACATGATTTTATATTTGATCCTGGAGATAATAAGAAGCCACTGGAGCTTATTGAATGGGAGAGAGGGGGTGACACTGTTGGGCCTTCATTTTAGGAAGTTCACTTTGATAATGGAACAGAAGATGGACTAGAGTGGGGAGAGGCTTGAGGCAAGAAGACCCACCAGGAGCCTGTTGTGATAGTCCAGGCACTAGGTGACAAGGGCCTGCACAGGGGGTTGGTGATATCAGAAGAGAAAAGGGGGTCTATAAGAGAGACTTTTTTTAAAAAAATGATAGCTAGTATTTATTTAGCATTTTACAAATATTATCTCGTTTTACTTTCACAACTCTCAGGGGTAGGTGCTATTATTCTTCCTCTTTACATATGAGGAAACTGAAGCAATTGTTCAGTCATTTTTCAGTCTTGTCTAACTCCTTGTGACCTCATTTGGGAGTGGTTTGCCATTTCCTTCTCTAGCTCGGTTTGTAGATGAGGAAACTGAGGGAAACAGGGTTAAGTGACTTGCCCAGGGTCACACAGCTAGTAAGTGTCTGAGGTTAGATTTGGACTTATGAAGGTCTGTCTTCCTGACTCCAGATGGAGCACTCTATCTACTGTACCACCTACCTGCCCTTACTAAAGCAGACGCAAGTTAATTGATTTGCCCAGGGTTGTGTACTGCTTTTTTTTAAACGAAGTTTATTTTTAGTTTTCAACATTCACAAGAGAGATGTTTTTAAGGTAGAATCCATAGGACTTGAAGACAGATTGGGTAAGAAAGGTGAGAGTCGGGGATGACCACTAGATTGCAGGCCCATCTATTGGGAGGATGAAGGTACCCTCAATAGAGATACCCTTAATAAAGAAGTTAGGAAAGCGGAAAGGTGGTTGGGGGGAGGGGAGGAAGAAGAGGAGACAATTTTTTAAAATCTCTTTCAAAAATTTATCCTTCTTTATCTTAAAAAATATCTTTCTTTATCTTTTTTTTGCAAATGAGGAAACTGGGGTTCTAGGAGGATGATTCACTTGTCCAAGGTCAAGCAGCTAGTTAAGTATTTACTTGCTATGCTCTTTAGAATTACTCCTGACTTAGTAGAAATGACAGTATTGGATACTTTGAACAATAATGAACGAAATTCACTGTTTTTAAAACAGGTGTTTAAATGTATTAAAAGGCATGTCTCCTCATTTCCTACTGAATAAAATATGAATGCCAATTTGGGGCATTCAATGCCTCATCCAGTGTTCCCAACTTACCTTTTCAGTCTTAAATAGTTTCCCTTCATGTACTCTCTGTTCTCCTCAGACTGGACTCCATTCCTTTCTTCCATCCCTCACTTCCATCTCCACAATTTGGAACCCACCATACAAGGTCCAATTTACATGGACCTTAAGCCACCTCTTCCTTGAGGCCTTCCCTGACACCCCCAGGTGAAACTGATCATAATCTCAGATTTTTTCATAAGACTTTGTCTAGAATTCCATTTGCACTTACTGCATTCAAATTTATCATACTTACTTATGTGTCTTCTTATCCCTTCCCTGAGGACAGAGACTATGTTGTATCTCTTTATATCTCCCTCAGTACCTAGCAACATTGTTTTGCACATATTAATCACTTAATAAATGCATCTTGAATTTAATACACAATATGAAAGGTTGGTTTTTTTAACTTGAACTGAATAAAAATCAATCATAACTGAATGTTATGAGGATATATTAAAGAAATTGTAAATGCAAGGGATAGAGTGCTGGGCCTGGAGTCAG